GGGATTGTAGGGGGGGTTTCTAGCGAGTGTAGGGTAGAAAATGGAATAAGTTCAATTGCTCAAAGCATCCCCTTGCAATCCTAGAGCCATTAAGCCAGTATATGGTATACCGGTATACCCATCACATCTGGCTTTAGGAACCCTAGCCACAGAATAAAGATCCTATAGTGATCATATGACGTATAGGGTTACAAAAATCCTCTCATCTTGTTGGCCGTGGTACTAGTAATCGTGGTAGAGGAGCCTTCTCTAGAGTCCTGCTTGAAAAGCTCCCTGCCTACGTTGCACTATACGTTTGCACCCTTTCTTCTCTCCGCGTCGGATCACCAGGAGCCCTCTATCAACAAACCCCCTTCGACCCAACACCTTCAGACTGAAACTCGATTCCGTCAAATTCTGAGAAATGATTTCCCTCCTCCGAACTAACATGGAACTTCAGATAATTCCTTCTAAGAGGACGCTAGTCACTAGTCTACATAGAGCCCGAACGGCGTCAGCTCACGGGCACGCCGTCCCCTAGCCAACAGGTGGCGTGGACAAGTTGGACCCCAAAACCTAGATTTTCTAAGTCTAAATCTAATTAGCGCATTCCCAACTCTAAATCCTTAACCCCAGACCTTGAGCGTGGGTGTAGATGGCCATCTCGATGCTTACACATCGCCCTTACCGTTTAGAAGGAGACGTACTCATAAGAGATTAGGGGTGTAGGGTTGAGGGATTCAGGGCTTCGGGTCTAGGAGTTCGGGGTTTAAGGGTCGTAAATGAAGACGTGGTGCCTTCAAACATCACCCAGAGGAACATTCAGAACCCGCAAAAATCACATGAGCTTGCTATTGGGGACTAAAGCATCCCATTCAAACCACGGCATAACCCCACACACAATCCCAGTTCCCATTTCATTAACCCATTTTCTTTATCCATATGATTCTCCATCACCGGTAATTATGTATTTGGGGAGTATAGTAGCTCCATTCAAATAAGGGTCATGTTATGTCAGGCTTTGTATTTGGGGGGCCCTTCATTTATGGAAACAGTCATATTGGAGATTGCACTAGCCTAAAATCTAAATCCTTTAGCCCGAACCCCACGCTCCTACATGCTTAACCGTCCACTCTAAACCCCTAAACCTTAAACCCTAGACCCTCAGTGCCCTGAACCTAAACTGTGTGGTACCTCTCTCCTTCAGCAGGAGCTTCAGGAAGCCACATGAAAAGAACTGGAGACTTATTTGGGTCAACCACCCAAACAAGCAGCAGTGGTTCCATGCACTTTTCCAGCTGATGCCGCTTCTCTTTGCCTCAGCCTTAAAGGCATGCTGTAGTGGTTTGGAGCGCGCTGCGTGCAATATGCATCGCTGAACTGTCCGGAATGGATTTTGGTTTTCCATTTATTTGGGAGTTGGGTTGCTAGAGCAGGATTTTCAGAAAAGTTCAAAGTTTGGTGGTTGATTTTGTAAGCAAGGGTAAAGGGGGGATGGGCTGTAGGGCTTTGGGGCGAACCTAACTCAGCGGAGATGAGGGGGTTGCCAGAAATCAGAGGTCTCTTCCGGGGGCAGGCTCGAAGAAACCTATTGTTAGTTACTTGGGAGTAACCCTAAACCCTAAAGTCACTACCAGCAGTACCTTGATAGGAAGACGTGGATCAGCATCCTGAGATTTTAAGCTCAACGCTCGTTGCTATATGCGGGTGACGGGGACATCGCTGCCCTATGCCCTGAGTGAGAAGGCTTAGGGTTTCAGGCTTGGGGTTCAGGATTTCAGGAGGGTTTAGGGTTTTTAGGAGGCATGTTTGGCAGGATTTGCTTCACCTGAACTCCTTAAGCTTTAAACACTAAGCTCTAGACCGACTTTATGGCGTCGAGGGGTTAATGGTTTTAGGGCATAGGGTGTTAGAATCTACCCTAGCCTCTAATGGTCTGTCGCGCGCGTTTCTTAACTTTCGCGCACAGCTTGCCGCGATCGCGCTTCTAAAACCAATGTTTTCATTTCGTTCAATGTAGATAGATGACATGCTTTGAACAAAACGTAGAAATCATATTAGCTATGGATCGTGTGTGGAGAACTATTAGATAACCATCCCTGTAAAGGATCAAGCATGTCAGCTCCCAATAACAGAAACCCTTAGTTTTCCTTATGTAGTAAAGGGTCATGTTGGGGGGAGTCCACCTTTTTGGATGTTGTAGGGGGTCTGGGTAGGGAATGGAAAAAGAACATGGAAACTACTTGAGGGTTTATTCCTAAACCCGAAACCTCTACACCCTAAACCCGGCCCTAAACCCTGAACCCTTAACCCTGTGGAATCGACATGAATTTGGAAACTACCTTTGGTTTAGGACTGTTCGTACGGAATTGAGGAATCGATCCCTCCATGCAGGGTTAAGGGACTTAGGGTTTAGGGTTGGGGTTTAGGGTAGTTCCAGTTTTCCTTGTCCCTTCTCAAGGGTTCCAGGGTTGCACCCTCAAGGTCGTTTATGGCCCAAATATACCTCTTATTCGAGCCAATGCGGTCCCCTAGGTTTACCTAAGCCCTAAACCCCAAACCCTAGACCTTGAAACTAAGCCCATACCTAGAAACCCTAAGCCCTAAATAGTAGCTTCCGTTTTCTTTTCCATTATCCCTATATAACCCGTAGTAGTTTCCATTTTCTTTTCCATTATCCTTGTATAACCTTTTATTACATCCAAAACCAACTTCGCGACATGTCATGTTGACTGTTTCAATGCTGTTCTGGTTAGCGACAGGCCTTTGCAAAGCTTGCAGGGACGTGCTTCTCTCTTTCTCTCAGAACATGTAGGCCTTTTGGGGCTCTGTACCGGGGACGACAGGAATTAGGGATTGTGGGAGGGGCCCCATCTCACACTCTCCTGTCTGTCCCTCTCCCACTGGTGCTCTCTCTCCCTCTTTTTTATTTCTCTCCCTCTCTCTCTCTCTCTCTCTCTCAGTCTCTTTCGCTTCTTGCCCTGCATTTGTAGCAAACTGATTGGGCCGGCTTGTGCTTACGCATGCGAGTAGAGATTCGAACGGGCAGGCCATGGCAGAAGCTTTGCAAACTGCCTTGCGCGGTGGCGTTTAGATGCGCAAACTTTTGTGGGGCTTCTCAGAAGAGCTGTAATTTCAGGGACCTTGCAGACATACGGAGGCCCCCAAATATTCCGTGCCCCCCTTTTGATTGGGGGTTCCTACTACTATGTTGATGTGTAGAGACTCGACTTTTGGACGTCCCAATTTAGGGATTCCAACAATGGGGACCCACTTCAAGGATGAAATGCAAAGAATTTGGAATTACTTGTCTCTAAAGATTGGTTGTGGCCGTGACCGTAGAGGCCTGATTTTCCTTGTATATGCATGTCAGAACATACCTCTCAAAGCCCTATGCCAGCTTTTTTCGCCCCTACAATACGCATCTTTCCTCCGTCCAACAATTTGCAACGTTCAAGCCGGCGATGCAAGATTTATTTGGTGCTGTAGAAACCTGTAATGCGAGGGTCAAGTTTCTGGTGCTAATCCTCAATCATTCATAGGCTGCAGTATGGCATTGCCGCTTTGACATGATTGCCAGAGATCGCGGTGCAGTTGCGTTCAGAAATGCTGGGCTCCCCAGTAGACACCTTCCATCTTTTCAGGGACCTGGTTCCCAAATACAAAAAGAACGTATCTAACAAGAGCACCCGTTTTATTCCTTGGTTGCTGAAGATCCTTGCTTAAATCCTTTGCTATGTCCCCAAATCCTAAGCCTTAATCCCCATACCCTGAAGCCTAAACCCTCCTAGGTCCGGGGGGAAAGGGTCCTTGTAAACAAAGTCCCAAGCCCGAAGCCCTAAACTCAAAGCCCTACACCCTGAACCCCAAACACCAAGCCCTAAACCTAAAACTCTAAACCCTAAACCCCAAACTCCAAACCCCAAGCCCTAACTCTAAACCCCAAACCCTAAGCCCTAAACCGTAAACCCTAAACCGCAAGCGCTAAGCCCTGAAGCCCAAACCGTAAACTGGGCCCAGAATGTGATTGGAGAACCCACTCCCGACCCAAGGCTGAACATCTCTGAAGCCCAAGGTTTAGGCATTCAGTGTTTTGGCGTTCAGGGTTCTGGGTTTAGATATTCAGGGTTTGGGCGTCTAGGGTCTATGTATTTAGGGATTATGTGTTTAGGGTTTTAGGTTTAGGTATTTGGGATTTATGTGTTTAGGGTTTGGGGCTTAGCTTTTTGGGGTTTAGGTGTTTAGGTTTTAGGATTTGTGGCTTGGGTTATGGGCATACCTAGCCCCCTACCCCTCCCCCCGATATGAAATGTTGTTTATCTGCTTTTTTCTAGCACCTTGGAAACATGTGATCTTGGGGGGACTGAGCCCCTTAAACCCTAAACCCCTAAATCCCAAATCCTAAAAGCTAAGTGCTAAACCTTAAACCTTAACTTCTAAACCTTAAACCCTAAATTCTAAAGCCTCAGCCCTAAACACCTAAACCCTAAACCTTAAATACCTAAACCCTAAACACCTAAACCCTAAGTACCTAAACCCTTAACCCTATATCCTTAAATACTTCACCCTCAGTATTAAGGCGGAAAGCGTTGGACCTGGCAAGCCCAGCCCATCAACACTAACTACCCAGCCCGAGTATACCCGAATTTCGTTTGGTTTTATCTTGTTCTTCTCCATTATAGGCGTTGGAGTAGCTAAAATCCCTCAAGTAACTTATTCTTGGCGTTGATTACTAGCAGAAATCTTTTATTATCACCTAACCGCTGGACCGCTAAACCTTGAAGTCTTTTTTGAGTCTTTCGGTTTAGTGTCGGCTGCTCCTCGAGCCAAGTGCGCATCCCAATCTCCGGGGTTTGGGGTTTAGGGCCTCAACATCCACCAAAACCTAACCCCCCTAAACCCTGATAACCTCTAAGCCCGAAATCTCCAACTCCCAATCCTCTAAACCCTAAACCTTGATAGCCTAAGCCCTAAACCTCCAAACCCCAATCCAAAGCTGCAAGTCCGCAGAGCCCCCCAAGGCCCAGGTGGCGAAATAATTGGCATAGAGCAGCGGTCACTTCCCAGGCAGGGTTGAGGGTTTAGGGTTTAGCTTTGAAGTCTAGAGTCTAAGGTTAGGGGCTTAGACTTGAAGGTTTAGACTTGGAGTTTAGGGTTTTAGGGATTTCCCTGAAGCACAAGAATCCAACCCTAGTAACAACAACTTGCCAATGTGGTGCCATGTAGTCCTTTCCGGGTGGGCTTTTTCGGCCTTATGTCAGGGGTATTTGGGGCTAGGGGGTTTGAAGTCAAAAATGCTTGTGCCTACAATGGCCATAGGGTATGTTCCCTTTTTGGTTAGGATCTCTCTTTGAGTCAAGAGGTGCATTCATCATGTAGGGGACCTGAGCAAGTGGGTTGGGGAGCATGTTCTACTGGAGTCATATAAAGGGTTTAGGGTTTAGGGTCCCCTCTGGGGTTTTCTTTACCCTGCCCCGGCAGACTTTAGAGACAGCAGCCTTCTTCGCCTGGATGTCCATTTTCAATTACCTTTACCGAAGGGTTTTAAGGGACCAATACAGGTACGTATTCTTCAAACAACCTAAATGAACTTAATTTTTCCGCTTTTCATTTTCCATGTCATTTGTCATGTGATTTCCCACTTGAATATCCAGAGCCTTCCGCTCGCTGATGCCTTGTGAGGTCTCGCCAGATTAACAAGGCCAGAGCAGCCGGGGCAGCATTCAGTTTCCTAAGCGCACAGGTACAGGGTTTAGATTTAAGGATTAGGGTTTAGGGTACTTATATGGGAGTTGGGATGTTTAGGGCCCATAGAGGATTATGGGGCCCCTAGGAAGTCATGTGGGGCTGTTTTGACAAGATGTCCATCTACCAGGGAAATCAGAGTATGGCCCGCCTTAAGTAGAAATGATATGGCGCCCTGACCTTTGGGCTTCTCAAAAGGCTTACACGTCTAGGCGATGAAGTCCTGAACCTGTAATTTCGCACCTTAAACTCTAAACCATAAACCCCCCACCTAACCTAAAACCTTGAACCCGAAACCCAAAATCCTAAACCCTAAACCTCAAACCTTACATCTGGGGCTTTATGCCCCCAAACCTGAACCTTGAAGCTGAAACCCCACATCTACAATTTCACGTGCGAAGTCAGCCTACGGCACGTAAGGCCACCACAGGGCGGGTTGGTTGTAGAAGCCTGCAGCGTGATGGTTTCAGAGGTTCCACAGTCATTGGTGAGGTTCTCCCATAACAGGGGTCATTTAGGGGTAATTATGGCTAATCAAGGCTTGTATAGGGCGGAGTAGAAGGAGAACCCCTGAAACAGGAAGGGGAAGAAACGATGAGACTTGTCAAGGACCATTTAGGAGAAAACCGAAGTTAGTTGTAATCACACAATATCCCAAGATCTCTTATAATTCCGCTTTGGGGCAACCATATTTTTGTTTTCGCCGTAGCTTTTCCGTAATGTACGGTACATCCATTCAATGATGAAAGAGATTTAGGGTTTAGGCCTATGGCTGGGGATTTAGGGTTCAGGGGTTAGAATGTTTATGGATCAGGATTCAAGTTAAGGGATTAGGGATTAGGGTTTAAGATTTGAGCGCTTAGGGTTTAGGGCTTCGGCTTCAGTTTAGGGACTGGGGTGCAGGTTTTAGGTTCAGAGTTTGGGGCCCGCACCGCAAGAGCCTTGAAACCTTGGCCCCCGCACCTTGACCCAAAGTTGCCCGAACGCCAAAAATCAAATCCTCAGCCCGCATCCCAAGAAGCTTTCGGTGAATACACCAGGTCCCCAGCAAGTACAGCAACTTCAAGTGTTTAGCTATATACTTCATGCCTCATACTCCAGTTCCAACAAATCCACGCATTCAACTCCCAACCACCTCCAAAGGCACGCTAATTTTTGAAAAGCCTAAATCCTACATATCCCATATATCCCTATGTACATGTACATCCTACCCTTTAACCCTGTACGCTCCTGTAAAACCCCTTTCAAAGGGAACGGACTCTTTTGCAAATCTGAACAGCTATGCCCCTATCTTGAACCCTAAATCTTAAATCCAAACCTGAAGTTCTAAACCGAAGCCTTGCTAGAGCCAGAAACCTTACGCATGTAAGAGTTTGGATATCACCCTGAATTTCCAGGCATTACGTGTCCCTTGTATCCCACGTTATAACCCTATGTATCCAATTATCAGGCCTTTTGAAAGGGCCCCGAAATTTCAAGATATCACCCTAAATCCCTTGTAGCCCAAAAAAAGAAGGATTTTTCTTCCCTTTTACCAACCCTATGACCCCGAAAAACGCTCTAAATCCTAAACGCTAACATATGCACACATCATATGCGTATATGTGTAACAAACTCAACTCTAAACACATGTATGTATATGTATATGTGCACGTACATGTACATGTATATGTATACGTATACGTATATATGTATATGTATATGCATATGTGTATATATATATATATATTTATGTATATGTATATGTACATATATATATATATGTATACGTATACGTGTACGTATACGTATGTGTATGTGTATATGTGCATATGTATATGTACATGTACATGTATGTGTATACGTACGTCTATATGAATATACATACATACACATATATGTATACACACATACACGTATATACATTTAAGTATACACACATATCTATATACATATGTATATATAGATATACATATGGACATGTCATTATATGCATACATATCTATGCATATACTAATATGTGCATCTCATATGCATACCTATACGCATACATGCATATGTAGACAAACCCTTTGTGGCTTCAGGTTCGCCGTCGGCGGAGCCGACCAGCTCGCCGACCAGCTCGCCGACTGTCAGGCCGTCAGTAAAGGGACTTTGATGGGAACCTTCAGAGCAAGAACCGCAGAACTGTAGGGTTTAGGGTTTGACGTTGAGGGTTGCAGGGCCTTGGTTCCTGGTGCTTTTACGGGCTTAGGATGTAGGGTATTAGTGTTGTAGAGGTTTAGGATTTAGGGATTTAGCTTTGGGGGTTTAGGGCATATGGTTGCACTGGAGGTTTGATGTCTTTTGCTGTGTTACGAGGTTTCCAGATGTATGGCTTCTGGAATGCTCTGCGTGTGGCCATCGGAGGTATGCAGGGTTTGCCCCATCGCTTACTTGCCAGGGCACCTGAACTAGAAACGTGTATCCAGGATCTTGAAAACCGTAAACGCTAAACCCTAACACTCAACCTTCAAACGCTCAGCCCTAAACCCTACTTTGCAAGGCATCACGATTGAAAAGAGGGCACCTTGAACCCTGAGTTTGTAGTTTGGATTCCACTTCGGGTTTAGGTGTCAGGATTTAGGGTTTAGGTTTCAGGGTCTCTGATGTAGGGTTCAGCCTCTGCCTTGGCTTTGCGGCAGCCCTCCTGTTACTAAGAAAATATAGTTCCCAGTCGTACCATGATTTTCATGAGTCTAGAACGTAGCTGCACCATCGCTATCTTCATTATCGTTGTTGATGGAGGAAATCTTGCACCACCCCAAGTTAAGTTGCTCCGCTGAAATCCCTGGAGTTACACTACTTTAGGCGCCCCAACTGATGCAAGATTTCCTGCACGAAGCGTATCAACAATTCAATGAGAATCAGAGCAAACAGTCGCATTACCAGTAATGATACTAGTACTCATGGTAATTGCATTTTACCGAGTAAGACATATTTCTTTATAACATGTGGTATTCCGGTTGATGGACAAGTTGTTGCATGACCCTAATGATACTATACTCTTAGACATGAGGTAACATGGGTCATGCAGGAATTTTCCATCCACCGTTTGACTCCAAACATGATCTGTTGAGGCGAGTCTGTCTGAGTCGCTGGGTACGTGCAGTTTGTGCCGAGTGTCCTGCAGATTGCCTGACATACTCTGGGTTTAGGATTTAGTCTTGAAGGTTTCGGGCTGAGGGTTTAGCCTCATTTAACGAACTGAATCCATTCCAGTCTCTGTCTGATATTTGTTTTAGACGTTGTTTTCCATGTTTCTCCATTATTCTAGTTATTAAAACCCATAAGCCATGCAACGGAAAAGGCACTTCAGCCATGGCCCTAAACCTCAAACTCTGCACCCTGAACCCGCTGCCTCGAGATCCAAACAGCCAGTTGTAAGTTTGGGGCTCGCAGCTTAAAGAACCACGTGTTCCCTCCAGAAGTCATTGCAAAAAATGACCCCGTGTGCCAAGCTATCATTGTTGGGAAGGATACTTCACATGGGAGCAACCCCAAACCCAAACCCCCATTAAAGGATGTATTTTGGGTTTCGGGCATAAATGGACTATGGGGTCGTTGAGCTTGCAAAAGCCAAATTTCCTGGCAGCCTCCAAAGGATGCCTAAACCCTAAACCCTATTGTGGCAGATAATGCGCATAGATTGGAGTTTCAGGGTTAAGGGTTGGATAAGGGACTCATGGGTTAGTGTTCAGCCCTGTCCTAAAGCCTAACCTTACCCCCCCCCCCTATTTGCCCGCACCAAATGCCAGCTCATCAGAATGTGCTGCGTATA